CCCAACACCATCATGGGGGACTTAGGAGAGAGGCCGAGGCCAGGTGCCCATGGAGGCAGAGGCTGGAGGGACGCGGCCAGAGGAGCGCTGGGAGCCGCCAGGAGCTGGAGGCAGCAGGAAGGCTGCTCCCTGGAACAGCAGAGCTGGCCCTGCACACCTTGACTCCAGACTTCAGACCCCAGAGACACAAGGATAAATGTCTGTTGTCTTATGCCCCCCAGTGTGTGGTCATGTGTTACAGGGGCCCACGCAATTTCACGCCAAGCACAGGCCGACCCACAGACACAGACAGCTCAGGGAAGTAGAAAAGCCAGTACTCTGAACTGCCAGGGGAGGCCCGCCTGCTCCATGGGAATCCCCCAAAGACCCTGCCTAGGCAAGGGAGGCTGGACCGTCCCAGCTAGCAGCCTGTGGGCCTGAGAGGCTGGGACACTAGGAGACATTCCATCTTTCCTTCAGGGAGATGCCACATTTCCAGCCCACGTGCCAGCCGCTTGGCTTTGCCCCAGCAGGGCCCAGGCTCACAGGGCAGCATGGCAGGTGCCTGTACGGGACCAGGTACCCCCAACAGTGCTCACAGCTCCCAGGACACCTGGGTGGGTGTGCTGTGCCGCTGTGGCAGTCCCCAAGTGGCCCTCAACCCTAGGGGACTGTCCACCTAGCACCCCTCGCCATGGCTGTGGTGCTGGGTGCAGGGTGGACAAGGTCCCTGTCTCCTCGGGTACTTCCCACAAGGCCGGCCAGTGCGACCCACGCTCTGACCCCGCCTCCTGTTCCCACAGAGCCGCACACATCTCGCCATCTGTCATCTCACAGCTCTGAAGCATTCTCCCTCAAGGAGTCATTCCGTGGGGTCCCCCCTTTCTGCATTCTGTCCCCCATGGCATCGTCCCTGCCCAGATCACCCACAAATGTGGCTCCATGCCACCAGCCCTCAGCCCAGTTGGTCTCTGAGTTCTGCACTTGAGACGCCTCCAGTTATTGGGAGCCACCCCCGAATCAGAGTGTCACCAGGGACACACAGGTGATGGTCTCCTGGTCCAGGAGCCACATTCATCTAGCTTCCCCTCACTCTATCACTCTCCCTATCCTCATAGCGGGGGGGGGGGGTCATTTCTTTTTTTTAAAACTGTCAGCTTTTAAAAAAGGGTTGTTTTCTTCTCAATTGACAAACAATAACAAGACCATCTCAGTTCTCAGCTCACGGTTCCTCAACAGCATCCTTGCTGTCAGGATAAGGCCAGTCTGTGCCTCGGGCCACCAGGCCCAGGAGGTCTCTCTCTCTCTCTCTCTCTCTCTCTCTCTCTCGCCACCTCCCCGAGTCCTGCCCTGGCCTCCTCCTGCTTAGAACCCCATAGCTCCTGCTTAGCTCGCTGTTCAGATCTCGGCTTCTGCCACCTCCTCTGGGAAGCCTTCCCGTATCCCAGTCCAGGTCGAGTTCCTCGGATGCTCTGGCCCAGGCCTCTTTCCTGTCTTCTCAGCACATTTCTGCGTATGATTACCTGTATGTCTGGGGACTCTGGCTCACAGCCCTCCCGGGCGCACCATGGCAGGGCCCACAATCGTTCTGCCCCCATCCTAGCCCACGTCCAGGGATGGGCCCTCCGTGGATGGGTGGGTGGGTGGTGAAGGAAGACCGGGGAAAGCAGAGAGGAGGGACCGCGGGTCTGGAGCAGAGCAAGAACTCTAGCCCCTAGGACCCGGGCTCTTGCTACCTCTCAGGCACGGTGGCCCAGACGGCGTGGAGGGAGCAGGTAGGGCCTTCCACTCTAGGGGTCCCCGTTCCCATCTGCAGACAAAGCCTGGCCAGGCAGCTCCTACAGGGGCCCTTGACCAGTCTGGCCCCTGGGCAGCACGTGGGAGGAGGAGGGTGCCTGCTCCATCCAGCCAGACGCAGGACCCCCGTGTGGGTGGCACGAGGCCTGCTCCCATGAGGTCTGGTGGCCGTGGCCCGCCCCGCCCTGGAGCCCAGCTCCCACCCTCACACTGTCCTCCCTCAGGGGGTCCCTGCAGGTGTGGGAGGAGCCCCCAGGGAAACAGCTTCTCCTTCTGGGCCAGAGAGGGAGCTGTGATCACCTCCAAAGGTGGCTGCCGACGTGTCACACACTCCCAGGGCTGGCTGTGACTGCGTGTGCCACCCACTCACTGAGAGGCAGGTGCTGTTGTCACCTCAAGAAATGAAGACACAGTGATGTCAACAGCAGCAAGTGACCAGCTGGGACAAGGCCAAGCAGCCTCCACATCTGCCCCTGGGGACCAGCCCGGCCTCGGTGAGCCTGGTAAGGACTTGGCGTGCAGGAGCACCTGAACCTGCCACACAGGTGGACACGAATCCTGGGGCAGTCCCTCCTGGGGCAGTCCCATGCTGCCTCTCAGCCCAGGGCCCAGTGCCTTGGTGCCTTGTGGTCTGCAGGGGGTCACGCAGAGCCCACCCCTGGGCCTCCGGCACCCCAGCAAGGTGAGGGCGAGGAGTCTGTCTGGGAGGCAGTGTGGCATTCGGTGTCTCGCTGCACCTGCTGTGATGACTCCTGACATGTGCCGCAGGCGGCACAGACACCCCCAAGCCTCAGAAAGCTGCTGGCACCGCCTTGGGGGCTGCAGGGGCAGATGATGACTGGGGACTGGGAAGACAACCTTTCCCAGCAGGCCACCGCGCTTGAGCTCTGGGGCCCTCGCCAGCCCTCTCCTCCCCCTTGGGCACGGCCACTGTGACCCAGGCTCTCGAGGGGGCTGGTCAGACCCCCTTTCCCAGGAAAGGCAGGGCCACCCGTTTCCTGTACGAAGAGCAGGCCAGAAGGGCGTGGCTGACACCTCAAAGCAAGCTTGTCTCCAGGAGACCACCAACCCCAACCAAGTGGGAGACCCCAGGCTCGATACTATGGAGCCAGAGACCCTAGGCTCAATGCTGGCTCTGGTTACGCAGAGCACCCAGCCTTCAAGCCTCGGGAAAAACCAAAAAGCCAACCAGGCAGACACCTCTCTGTGCGTTGGTGTCAAAAGGATCCAGCAGCCCCACTCCCAGAGCTCCATGCTGTGGTGGGCAGCCAGGCTGGCCCTGGCCCAGGCCCTGAGGGAGAAGCAGCAGTCTGTAGGCACAGGCCCCCTGAGCAGGCAGGCAAACTCGTCTGGTGAGATTTTTCCTCTGCTTCCGGATAAACAGAGCCAGACTTGAACCAAAAGGCCATTTCTTGCAGCTTCTCCCCGGCGAGGGCGTCCTGCCAGCCCAGGCCTCCTGGGCCTCCTGAGCCCACCAGGTTTACTTGGGCAGACTCGGTGTGGTGCTCACATCTATCTCCCCATAACTGTCTGAGTCCTTGGAGCCACTGAGACTGGGAACTGAAGTCACAGTGTGAGGAAGAATCTTCACACAGGAGAGGGGAACACAGCCTCCTTGTCGGCCTCTGGACAGGGCAGAGGCAGGGATCAGCTTTGCACAGAGGGCCTATGGCCCAGGCCAGCACAGAGGCCAGTGCCCACACCCGTACTCGAACACGCCTGTCTGGCACCTTCCCCACCTCCCTACAAAGGCCCCAGAACAGACCAGAAACGGGCCTGAACGGCAGAGACGCGAGAGGTGCATGCCTGGACTCCTGGGAATGAGGCAGATGCACCAGGTGTCTGGAAGGAGGGACACGAGGCTGGGTCAGACGCCGGGCAGCCCGGGAGCCCAGGTTCCAGGGGCTTCTCAGCCTCTCATCGCTGCTTCCTCTCTCCTGGGATCCCGGATGCACATGGCAGAGCCGTGAAGGGTACACACGGCGCCTCAGGCCCCCTTCCCCAAGCAAAGGCTGAGGCCTGAAGGACAGTCCTCTGGGGGACTGTGAGGCCAGACAGGTGGGACAAGCAGGCAGCCAGGGCAGGATGGTCCCTGGAGGTGACCAAGGCCAACGCAGAGGCCCAGCCAGGGTAGACAGACTACTGTTGCCCTCTGTATGCTCTCCTGGCCCCTGAATTTCTGCATCAGACCACGGAGCCACGAAGAAAAGCACGGAGGCCTGTCCCCAGAAGGAGACCTCCCCCAGCCTGCCCAGGACCAGCCAGGGGAGGACGGAGAGGGAATTTGACACTCGGAGACCTCTGGATCACCACCAGGGCAAGTGGCCCTGTGGGACACACCCCACCCGCACCCAGATCGGATGAGAACAAGCCCATGGAGACATTCAAGGCAGGACACATCCCCTTGGCAGGTTTCCAGAAGCCCCAAGTGGTGACCACAGACACGTCGTGGAGTGACGTCCCCAGGCCCCACATGGTGACATCTCTTATCGTCTCACAAGGTGCGATGGACCCCCAGTCACAGGGAATCCTTGGAAGGCTGGGATGGAGATTCCACAGAGTTCTGAGGAGAGGCCCAGTGTGAGACAGAAACGCCATCCCCAGACCAGGTTCCAGAGCCATCCCAGGACCCGGGCGCCTGGCCACAACAGGCAGCCCGCTGGCAACAGAGAGCCCACAGTGCCCAGGAAGAAGAACTGAGGGGCTTGGCTGACCTGGAGAGCTGAGGCGGGGGCCTTCGCCTGAGGGTAGGAGGCTCACATCACCCTCTTCCCTTTCAAGATCCAGGATGGCCTGTCCTTAAGCAGGGGGACGTGGCTTCCATCTTTGGAAGAGAGGCGAACGTCCCTTCCCTCAGAGTGAGTAACAGAAGTCAAACCACACCCCTGTCTCCAAAAGGCTAACGAAAGAGTAAGCAAATCTTTGACGGCGTGCCTTTGAAAAACGGCTACAAAGCATAAACTAGCTTGGTCCTTTGAACAGGCGGCTGGTGGTAACTAGGCTACTTTAAATGCACCTCTTGCTAACTTGCGAAGCCCAGATGACATTACCAGTGAGGAAGGACAACCATTTTCCGGGGGGTTCCCCCCAGAGAGTGAGCCAGACGGCCAGGCCGTGCAAACAAGCTGAGGGGCACACGCAGTTTTCCTGGGCTTCAGGGCCCGGGGCAGAGCGACAGATCAGGGCGGCCCAGGGAAGGAGACTGCCATGTGGCACACACTCACCTGGTCGGGGACCCAAAGTTACGTTTCAAACTGGGTTAACAGCTCCCTTATCTCTGGGGCCACGTGTCGCGCGGCATTCGCAGCTTCGGTTATAGCTTTCCGATACATCCCCTTCTTCTTACGGTTAAATCTCAGTTTGAAAAATTCCGAGAAAGGGGAGAGTTTTGAAATAGACAAGAATGACGTCGTAGGAGAGCCGAACCACGAGACCTTTGCTTCTCGCCAAGAGGGCGCGCCATCCTCCTTCTGGCCAAGGCTGATGTCAAGCACACGGGCCGGCCACCAAGGAAAGCCATGGATCTTGCCCCACACGATATCCCCCACGGCCACAGTCCTTCCGTCCTCGGTCACGCACTTAGAGACGCTCTGCGTGTGCAGCCTGACGGTCAGCGGGGGCACCGTCTGGTGAGTCTCTCCGGACGAGGAAGGCACGGGCGTGCCACGACCGGGCGAGAGGTCCCCTGCGTCTGCCGACGCCCCTTCCGAGCTGCACGACTTGGCCTCATCCAGGCTGTCGCTGCTGCACACCGACTCGCTGGCACAGTCTGCTGTCCTCCCAGGGCAGCTGACGAGGAAAGCCAAGCCGCCGTGTCCCCGCTGATCTTGAGGGCACCTCTTGAAGTCCTCGTCCTCGCCAGAGCTTCCTGAGGACAAGTCCGCCAGCCCGTGGGCAGGGTCGTCTGCACGGGGCGCTGGTGAGCTGACCCGCGGGTCGTGCCGATAACCGTTCAGCTCCTCCACCAGCTCGGCCCGGTACACAGGCTCCTCGCCGTCCCCGGGGCGATGGGGCTTCAGGCGGATCTTGGGGGGTGGCAGGTCTGCACTGGGAGGCACGGGCCGTGTCAGCTTCAGCTTGGGGATGGAAGCCGACGGCCCACCCGGCGGCCTGTCCCTGGGCTCAGTGTCCCGTGACGCCTCGGGATCCTGGCCATCCTCGTGCGGGGCCTGCTGGGGATGGAAAGGCTGCAGGGAGCCATGCACGCGGGAGGGGATCTTGACCACCTCACCTTTGCCCTGGGGCGTGCTGTAGGAGATCTTGATGACCGGGCTGCGGGGGACCTGCTCGGCCGGGGCCTTGTCCTCCCCCCGCCGCTCCCTCTTGCTCCTCCTGGCAGTGGCCGCCATGGGGTTGCCGTCCTCGGGCTCTTCAGGCTTGCAGAGCTCCCTGTCCGGGCCACTGCCCAGCCGCCTGCGGGCGCGAGGGGCGGCTGAGGGGCTGGGGCTGGCCTCTGGGGGACTCAGGGTGCTCTTGCACTTCTCACAGAGCACTTGGCGCGGCCTCAGGCGGATGGTACTCAGGATGAGGCGGCCAGGGTCACGGTTGCGGGACAGACGCCGCCGGGTGCGCTTGATGGGCCTGGGCGGCGGCTGGGGCACCCACTGCTTGTACGTGCTCCTCAGCCAGAGCGGGTGAGGGAAGGGGGCGCCCTCAAAGTACGGCGGGAATGAGGGCTGGCTTCCGGCGGGCAGCGGTGGCACCAGGGGCGGGGGCGGCTCGGGGCCAGCGGTCTTGGGGGCCTGGTCTCCAGGGGGAGGCGGCGGGGAACCGGCCCCCAGCTGCATCACCTCTCCGTCCCCCTCCTCGGGGGCTTGCCCGTGGCCATTGTCGGTGGGCGGGTCGTCGACAGGGGGCGGTGGAGCCGATGGGGGCAGGCCAAAAAGGCCGGACCTGGCAGTGGGGAGACAGAAACAGACAGTGAGGACGGCAGGGACCCCAGGCACGCCCACCTCCCTGCCGCCCAGCTCCCAGGTCCAAGACCCAGCCCCTCGCTCTCTAGCAGGCCTGGAGGCTGACACGTGCCTGGGTCCAGGGCAGTACTCCTGGCCTGTACCCAGACGTGAACGTCCCCTCCGTATTCCTGTGCTGGGAACCACAGGCCAGCTCACACACTTTACAGAGTCATGCGGCACATGGACTCAAGGCCAGCCATTTCTCTGGTCTGACAGGCACGGAGCATCCAAACGTCAGTCCGTGGCAACAGGGACAACATGGGCTTGCAGCTGGAATACTTCTGGGCAGCCTGAGGGTGGGCTTTGTGTTTTAAAGGGTCCAGGACAGGGTCCCAGGTGCCTGGTGTGCATCTGAAAGTGGAGGGTCCACGTGCCTAGAGCCGTGACCACAGCCGAACTACAGCCCTCTCAAGCTCTGCTGCCTCCGAGAGGCCCAGAGACCCCCAGTGAGTGACCTCATCCACGACACCCTGCCCACCACAACGTGGAAGTGCCTCTCCACCCACCTGGCACCCCTCATCAGGCTGGGGCTGGTACCCACAAAGCCACACGATCCATAGGCCAAGGGGCACAAGAAGACAGGGGCACCTACTTTCTGGGGGACCCACAGCTAAGGCCAGTCGTCACCCCCAGCCAACACACTGTCCCCAGTAAAGGCATTCTCTTGCCAGGGAAGCTCTGGGCCTGGTGGCCTCCATTTAACAGGTGGTGTCCCACTGTGCATGGCTTTGGGGGTTTTGTTGTCAGAAGCCGGTAGCAGCGTGCATTCTAGAGTGGAAGGCCACTTTGCTGCACACACGCCCATGGCGACATCTTTCACAAGGCCCAAGTGCAGTGAATGTCACCAAGTCACATCTAGTCCCATAAGCTGTTCTCAGCGCACCAGGAAAACGATCAGGGGAAACACCGATGTTGTTTTGTATGATGAAAGACAAGTTTCTTCAACGGCGAACACACATAACTCCTAACAAAGGTGATTTAATGTTTAAGACTGCTTTAGCTAAAACAGAGAGGGAGAGAAAGATGGGGGAGCAAGGGATGTGGGGGAGAGACGGAGAGAGGGAAAGATGGCGAGAAAGAGACAGGCACAGAGAGAAGGGGGGACAGACTGTGAGAGCAGCAAGGTCAGCTGGGAAAGAGTGCCACCATGCGCCCATAGCGGTGTCCTGGGTCCCTCCGAGGGGCACGGCATGGGGGGATTCTACTCCGTGGCAGGGGCAGCCAAGGGTGGGTGAAGGCCCATCCTCCTTCACCCACCCACTCCTGCCCTCTGAGAGGACGAGGCCATCCCTACTCCAGACGGGCACCTGCATGGCACCCGCAGCCTCGGGCTGAGTGAGGCAGCAGCAATCTCTGCGAGAGCCAGCCATGCGTGCCACACCATCTCACCGGACCCTGCAGAAACCTTGGAAGCTGGCATGCTGCTGTTTCCAACTCTGGTGGGCTGAGACTTTCACTGGGGCCCATGCCAGTTGGTGGCTCCTCTCACCAGCCCTGGACAGGCACTGGGCACAGAGCCCAAGGAGCACAGACCCATGGACCCCAGGGACGGCAGGCCAAGCCCGGCCACCCCAGCATGCGTGAATAAAATTTCACTGGCACGTAGCCCTACAGCTCGTTTACGTGCTGTCTTTTCACCACAGCGGCAGCCTAGAATAGCCGTGACAGCCAATGCGGCCAGCCAAGCCGACGTTAACTATCTGCACCCTTACAGAAAAAAAGAGTTTGCTGGAGTCTCCCTGTGGAGCAGAGCCCTTGCTGAAGCTGGGCCTCGTTCCCACCTGGGGCTCCAGGCAGGTGTCCTGAGTCCCCTGGCCTCATAGTCGGGACCGGAGCCCTCAACTGAAATCAGCATCCGACTCCTTCCCTTCAGGGATCACTAAGTGGTGAGTATTTGAAACAGGCTGAGAATCCTAAGAACTAAACCTGTGTGCTCGCACACAAGCCCGTATGTGCACGTGCAGGCCAGCATGCTCACTGCCTCGGCTGCTGGGACAGCCAGGAACCCCTCCATATAGCCCACTGTACCCCACAAAGGGCCTCCAATGAGGAGGATGTCGCCAAGGAGAAAGGAGAAGCCAGGAAGCCCCCAGCCCCCAGGAGCAGCAGTCTCCTGTCAGAGCGTGACAGCTCAGACAGCAGTCATTCATAAAACACATCGGGGGATCCTCAAGGGACAGACCAGGCCCAGTCCAGCCCCAGAAGGACATCTGGACAGCAAGACAGTCACCCAGGCAGCCCTCTCAGGGCTGCCACCAGGTGGACCCTCACTAGGGGTGGGGAACACGGCACCCTAACAGCTCAGGGTCTTGGGCTGAGGTAACAGTGCCAGGAGCCCCAAGAGGGGGCAGGAAGAGGACGGCACAGAGGAACAAACAGGCTGCTTAGGCCTGCTGGGGACACAGGGCCCTCCTGGGGCCACCTCTGCTCAGGGATTTAGGGAAAGCAGGCTGGCAGGAGCAGCCACAGCCTGGACTTCAGGGCTGCCCCTCCTCCAGGACCCCACAGAGGAGCCCGCCCCACCCCACTGGCCCCAGGATCTCTAAGCACAGGCCGGGGTCTGGTCCTTTCCCAGGCAGATCAAACTGGATAACAGCCTGGGCTTCGCACCGTCCTCGTCGTGACCCTGAGTCATAGCAGCACCAGCGTCCAGGCACTGGAGAAGCCGGTCCTGCAGAAATGGCCGGTGACCCTGGCACAGCAGGCAGCCATACTTCCTTCCTGGCGCTGCCGCCCTGCCCAGGCCACACCCCAACCCGCCCGCTTGGTAAACACAGGGGGGCCAGCTCACTGCCCAGGCTGGGACAGGGTGGGAGCACCCGGCCCTGGAGATCTTGCAAAGTGAATAGCAGGTACCCCAGGCTGCTGGAACCTCAACCCCCGAAGCACGAAGAACAGATGCTTGTCACTCCCATTGCATCGATGGGCCAGCAAGGCTGGGCAGACTGGGGGTTGTGGCCGGAGCTGAGTGGGTCGCGGGGCCAGTGGGGGTCGGCTGCCTCCAGGCATCCAGATGGTGCTGACCCGGGAAGAACCTCAGCAACGTGTCCCGGACACTGGGGCACAAGGTGTGGCCTTCTGGAAGGACACCACTGCCGCTGTGGCCCTCACGCTGACTGCCTCAGGGACAGAGTCCCCACGGACCTGGCCGTGCCCCACAGAGGACACTGCTGGTCTCGACAGGTGGGAGGACTGGCTGCCCTAGAGCCAGATGAGTGTGCCGGGTCCACACTGCACTTCCAGGGCCACCAGCCGGGCACGGCCATGGGAGTGAGAAGGCACGTGGGGAGGGACCCTGGGGACAGGGGTGTGGTGACTCGCCAGAGGGAGTACCAGGCCTCAAGCACCAGGCTGGCCCATGTCTCCACACAGAAAACGGAAGAGACCCAGAAGTAAACCTCACACAGATCCTCAAGCAGCTCAGGGGTAGACAAGACAGCCTTTGCTTTGAGAGAAGGCTGGGCAAAGAAGGCAGGGAAGAGAAGCCCAGGAGTCTCTCATGGGGAAAAAGACCCCAAATCAAAAAACACGGTGGTATCACCCCTAAAGGGACAGAAAGTTGGCGCTCCCGGGGACGCAGAGGCCCTCCCCCCTTGCCTGGAGGACGGCATGGCAGAGGGCTAGCCAGCACACGGAGGCCTGGGGACCAGGCCTGAGGTCCTCTGAGAGACACAAGTGGCTGAGTCTCAACTCACCCATATCCCCCGGATCCTACCTGGGTGTCGGGTCCAGCCAGCCCCAGAACAGCCCAGGCCCGAGGTCAGCCCGCGGCCGAAGGAGCACAGCCCTTCCGACAGACTCGGCCAGGGAGCCTGAGTCCAGATACCTGAGACCCCACCTCAGGCTGTCTACCTGGTATTGGTTGAGAAAGTGTCTGCAGTCTCCCTCTTGGCCCTGCAGCCAACAGGACAGCGTGCAGGAAACGGGGGCTGGCCAGGCCTGCTGGGGGCACAAGGGCACCTTTACTCAGAGAGTTAGGGAAAACAGGTTGGCAGGAGAAGCCGCAGCTTGGACAGCAGAGTGGCCCCTCCTCCAGGGCCTGCCTAACCACATAGGCGCTGGCTCCAGGATCTCCCGGTGAGAGCAGGTGGGCCAGGCAGTCACAGCTAGCCCCCAGGGTCCTCACTCAAAGGGTTGTGAGTCTTCTATGCTGGCCTTCTCTAAGCCCTCTGGGTTACGAGGCAAGGCCCCACTCTGTCCCCTTCTTATTCAGATGCCACCACCTTGAAGAAGCTCCCAAGACCAGCCATGCCAGTCAGGGACCCTGGTGCATCAGCCCGGGAGGCACTGGGCACCTTGGTCCCTCTAGCTCTCCGAGAGCAGGGGGAACATCTCGTCACCACTGCGGCTCCCAGGCCTGGGGAGCCTGGGCCAGATGTTCGTCCCCAGCTGTCAACTGAATCGTCCCAAGAGCAGCCACTAGCAGCTGAGCCTCGATCCTGGACAGAAGGTGGCCCAGGCAGAACTCAGGGTGCTCTTCCGCTGGGGACATGCAGGGCTGGTGTGGGTGACAGAGGGCCGTAGCCTGACCTTTCCGGAAGTCTGTGTGATAACGGCACCATGAGCGTTCCCACAGCGGGGAACGGCTGAGAGACGCCAGCTAAGAGATCAAGGCAGGAGGCCCAGGGCTAGGCAGGCCCGGCTGGCAGTGGCCCTGCATCTGCAAGACCAGCCCCTTACCACTCTGAGCCTTTGCTGCCCTCAGGCCATTCCTCAGCTGGGGCCACCGCACCCGCGCTTCTCAACCAAATGTGCACCCCCAAGTCACCTACAAAACAATGCCCACAGCCACCCTGCACATCAGGGCAAGGCTCGGGTAAACTCCCCCTTGAAAGGAACCACCAAATCTGCCCAGAGGTGGGGAGGATTGC